ATGCTTCTGCCTGGGTAGGGGGAGCCTCTTAGAGACCCTACGAGATATAGGAGGTTGGTTGGAAAATTGAATTACCTCTGTGACTAGACCTGACATTTCTTTTCCGGTGAGTGTTGTAAGTCAGTTTATGGATTCTCCCTATAATAGTCACTGGGATGCAGTTGTTCGTATTCTTTGGTATATAAAGTCAGAAGTCAGCTCCAGGCAAAGGATTACTATTCGAGGATCGAGGCCACGAGCAAATTATTGGGTACACAGATGCTGATTGGGCAAGATCACCTTCTGATAGACGATCTACATCTGGATATTGTGTTCTAGTAGGAAGTAATTTGTTCTCGTGGAAGAGCAAGAAACAAAATGTAGTTGCTCGATCTAGCGCCGAAGCAGAATATCGGGCCATGGCTATGGCAACGTGTGAGTTAGTTTGGGTCAAGCAGTTGCTCAAGGAGTTAAAGTTTGGAGAAATCAGCAGGATGGAACTAGTGTGTGATAACCAAGCTGCTCTTTAGATTACGTCAAATTCGGTGTTCCATGAGAGGACTAAACACATTGAGATCGACTGTCACTTTGTCAGAGAAAAAATACTTTCAGGAGATATTGTTACAAAGTTTGTAAAGTCGAATGATCAACTAGCAGATATTTTCACTAAGTCTCTTACTGGTTCTCGTATTAGTTACATGTGTAACAAGCTCGGTACATATGATGTGTATGCACCGGCTTGAGGAAGAGTGTTAGATATGTACATAATGTAGCCTTGTCCTACATTGGAATAGGAATAGTATGTCCTTGTATAGTATAGCTATAAATAAGGACCTCTTGTATTGTATTGTACATACAATATCAATATATCATATTTTCTCCCGTGCCTTCTCACAATTACAACAACAACAACAACACCTCTGTCCCAAACAAAGTCGAGGTCGGCAATATGAATTCTCACTTCTTTCTTCAAGCTCAACTCGTATCATCATCATGCCAAAAATAAAATAATAATAGTGAAAATAAGTTTTATATAAAAGAAAAATAGTAACATTTAAAGCGTATCCCTAAGACCCTAACTAGTAAGCTTCACCTATATGGATCGTTATCTTCCATTATTCCTATTTTTAGCTAAGTCTACACTGGTTCCAAGAATTTGTAGGTCTAAACAACTTCTTTCCATGTAATTATAGGTCTACCTTGTCATGTGGTCCATATCTGCATCGGTGTCAACCTCACCTAATGTGTTTGTGGAAAAGAGACAGATCTTGGATGCAGCTTTGATGGCAAATGAAGTTGTGGACTCTAGAAGGAAAAAAGGAAAACTTGAGAAGGCTTTTGATCTTGTTAATTGGGAGTTTCTGGATCTTTTAATGGTGAAGATGGGATTCAGTGAAAGACGGAGAAGATGGATCAAGGTTTGCATTTCCACTGTCAGATTCTTTGTTCTTGTCAATGGTAGCCTGTGTGGCTTTTTGGTAGCTCGAGGGGCCTCAGACAAGGGGACCCCTTATCCTTTATGCTATTTATTCTGGTGATGGAAGCTCTAAGTAAGATAACGGATAGGGCAGTGGGTGGTGGTTATTTGAGGGGTTTCACGGCTTTGACTAGGGAGCATAGTACTGTAAGGGTTTCAAACTTGCTCTTTGTAGATGACACATTGGCTATTTTTTTGTGATGCAGATATTAACCGGCTGACATACTTGAAACAAGTTCCTAAGTGGTTTCAGATCGTGCCAGGTCTCAAAATCAACATCATCAAGTGTGAGATTTTCCTAGTAGGCGAGGTAGACAACATTGAAGAACTAGCACAAGTATTAATGGTAAGGTGGACTCTTCTTTACCTACTGGGCTACTACATACTTGGGCTTGCCTCTGTGTGCTTCAAATAAGGATCTCGCAGTGTGGAATCCTGTTATTGAAAGGGTTGAACGGAGATTAGCAGGGCCAAAACGATACTTGTTGAAGGAAAAGATGTACTCACTAAAAGCAATTTATCAAGTATTCCCACTTACTATTGTTCTTTGTTGCAAGCACCAGTGACTCTCACAGGAAAAATGAGAAGGCTTCAAATAAATTTTATATGGGATGCGGCAGATGGCACCGGAAACCGAAAAGATCCACCTGGTAAATTGGGAGGTTGTTACAACACCAAAGTGGGGTGGACTAGGGTGAAAGATCTTAGGGTGTTCAATAGAGCTCTATCGGAAAAATGATCATGGAGACTTGGGATGGAGGAGCTCGCCTTATGGAGGGAGGTAGTAGTTGAGAAGTATAATTTTATGGAAGGCGATGGAGAACTAGAACTATTACAGTTCCATTTGGGTGTAGCATGTGGAGGAGCATAATGAAGGGGTGGGAGGACATCAATGATCATCTTTAGGGTTGGGGATGGGAGAAGAATTAACTTTTGGAATCACAAATGGTGCGGGAAAGACTCCTTGGGGATTTCATTCCCTAATTTGTACAGAAGTTTCGAACCAAAAGGAGATGACATTCCATCAGATTCATAGGGAGTATGAAGGGGAAGTACTTTGGGATCTCACGTTTAGGAGAAATCTGCAAGACAGGGAGCTGGGAGAGTTTCAAAGGTTAGTGGAGTTACTTCACAAGCAAATCAGACCTCACTTTAACAATGACCCATGGAGATGGGCGCTAAGAAGTGATGGTTTGTTCACAGCCAAATCTTTCTACCAGAGTTTGCTGGTGTGAGAAGAGACGCGCTTTCCACATTTATCAATATGGATTGCTAGGGCACCTAGGAAGGTGTGCTTTTTTGCATGGTTGGCGGGAGCAATTCTAACAGCTGAGAATATATATAAGAGAAGCATTACCTATGTCATTTGGTGCTACGTGTGCAAACGTTCGGATAAAGAAGTTGATCATCTAGTGGTGCATTGTAGAGTGGTATCAGGTTTGTGGAGGTTGGTCCTGAATTATTTTGTTGCACAATGGGTGATGTCAGGTACTGTTAGAGATGTATTGCACATGTAGGCTGGTAGACATAGTAGAAGAAGACTAAAGGCGTGGAAGGTTGCCCCGTTAACTCTTATACAGGTTGTATGGAGAGAGAAATAAGAAAGCTTTGAGGGAATTGAAAATGATTTTGTACACTCGAGGAATAGCCTTTGTCTTTGATTGCTTTTTGGTGCTCCTTGAAATTCCCACTTGTATAGATGATTGAGTGTTTTCCGTAGAAAATCATACTTTGTTGTAGATTCTCTATTTTTTGGTATACCTTTTGTATACGGGAGCTTTCCCATTTTTTTTTAGTAATACCATTTACCTTATCAAAGAAAGATATGGCCAAACCATCTCAGCGACCTCTCTCATTTTATCCTCAATGCGTGCTACTTGAAGCTTCTGGCGAATGTGATCATTTTTAATCTTATCTAATCTTGTATAACCGGACATTCAAAAATACATAAACATTAAGTTGACAATTTATATTCATCCTTCTAAGTTCATTAATTTATCACAACTCTCTCTCCATATTCATCCAAACGAGTAAACCAATTATTGAAACTCACATGTATGGAAAATGTCCAAGAACGTAATCATCAAGTTACACTCTCTCAGTCCCATTTTATGTGACGGTATTTGACTATGCACGAAGTTCAAGAAATAAAGAAAGACTTATTAGAAAATCGTGTGTCACATAAAATGAGAGAAAGGGAGTATTATGTACCTTAAAGAAAAGCACAACATAACAACATATTCACCCAACTAGAACTCAAAGGCTCAAGGATTGCTTCTTGATGCGAAGGCGAAAATAAAAATAAACAGTAAATTAAGAAAAATGTAGAGAATAGTAGAAAATTTCTATTCCCTTTTCCTTCTATTTTTGGAGGCAGAAGTTAAGAGAATAAAATGCTCAGCTGATAGGAGTGTAGTTACTGAGTAGTGAGCAACTGAACGTACTCCCCTTTTTTTCTTTGATAAAGTAAATAACCTTGTTCTTTTAACAAGAAAAGTAAATGATTTCATTAAAGTTGGGAGAAGAAAACTCATGTATACAAGTATACCAAAAAGTAGAGAACCTATACCAAACAATTGAACATATTCTTGTAAGAGCTTAGCACTAATTCTGATGAAACAAACCACATCTTCAGGCAATGAACAGATATTGCAGTAAATATTACATATGTAGATGACATTTTTCTAATCACTAGAATCACCAGGTATTGATAATTGATAACAAATCTGCATATGATGCTTTGATCCATAATGGCCAGCAAGCTAATTGGTGGTCATAGAAACATGTCTGGAAAACTAAAATTCCATATAAGGTGGCCTGTTATGTGTGGCCTGGTAGCAAAAGAAGCTTGCCTGACACAGGAAATTTAAAGAGAAGGGGGATTAATCTATGTTCAAAATGTAATTTGTGTGGGAAGAAACTAGAGACGGCAGCCATTTGTTTTTGCATTGTGGAATAACTGATCAACTTAGGCAGCTTTTCCTAAACGTGATAGGCATTACATGGATAATGCCAAGATCAACGAGGGAGTTGTCGGCATGTTAGAACAGTGTCAGACACAAGACAGATGGAAATTAATCCATGCATGCACATGGTGGACTATCTGGGAGGAAAGAAACCCAACATGTTTTGAAGATAGATATAGTTCTACCCAGAAGAACAAGATGAATTGCATTTTACTTTTTCATTTTTGGTGTAATGAAACTTATACAGCTGATTCAGTCTCTATTTTAGAAGCTTTAGAATTCTTGTAAGAAGAATCAATGATGAACTGGAGCTGTCCTTTGTTTTGTAAATTTAGCCTCCAGCACTACATTTGTGCTGAAGTTTATAACTTCTGTTACCTTTTTGTCAAACAAACAAAAAAAAAAAGCTCTCCTAATTAATCTGTGATCTCCGATCTGGTTCCAAAGTAAAATTTGTGTAGAACAAACAAAAAAAAAGGTTGGCCACCATAATTCAAGTGCTGACTGATAACTTATTTTCTTTTTGTGACACTTAGTGCGACTCTTACAGTCTTACTCTGTAGAACCATCACTTCTCTCATAGATCAATAACATCAGTCCGATAAGTTTCTCTTGCTTTCTCTTTTAAGAAAAATGACAAAGATATAACTACAATCATACTTTAAAAAAGCTACTTCTAACGAAGAAACAGAATATGGTACCTCCCACGAGAAAGGCTCGAGCCACAGATTATCCACAATATCGAAGTTTGGTAGAAGAAGAGCAATTAAACTCCGACCGGCAGCCCAAACAGCATGCGGAAACTTTGTTTCCATTGTCCACTACAAAAAATCAAATGAACAGTCAATTTCATGTTGTATCTCACATGAAGAGACAATAAAGATGCTTTCAGTATAGGCAGTTTTAGTTAATCACTATTAACTAAAGATAACTCAGCTCTACAAATTATAGAGCTGGTTAATCTTTTTTGCCAGTAGTTCACAAAGTTACTGAACTACTAACAACGAGACTGAAGCATGCACTTGAAATCCCTGGCGCTTGAAATGCTTTTATTGATGAGAGGCAGATTCTTGATGTAGTTTTAATTGCTACTGAACTAACTGGTTCGAGAGAATTGAATGAAAGTGCTGGTAATAGACTTGGAAAAAGGGTAATGTGTCACACAAACGGAGTTCATTGATCGAAAGATGGGTTCCAAGAAAAATGGAGAAGCTGGATTAGTACTGCATATCTATTGTCAGATTCTCAATCTCCATTAATAGTCTACTCTTTTTCTTTGAAAACTCTAGGGGTTTTAGTGATGATGAAATATCACTTATGCCTCTGTCTTTGTGATGGGAAACATAACCCTAGATAAAGCAGCAGAAGGTGAATATCTGAAGGGCCTCCAACCAGGACATGGGCAGGCTAAGTCTAGCAAAAGCTCACCTCCTCAAATATGATACCTTACTTGTTGTGTGATGCTGTTGAAAATGAACAGATAAGAGTATACTGCTAGTAGCAAACAGTCTTGAGGCTGGTTAATCTAAAATGAATGTGACATCATCCAAGTTGGGAAGTGCAGTTTAACCACTTAAACAATCCATGGGTTCAAGCTGAGTTAAATCCCACCCATCTATTTTGATCTTCCTTTGCTGCCTCAAAGATGTTCAGGTGTGAAATCCATTACTTCATAAACTTAAGAATAAATGGACTTCTGGCAGAAAAAATATAAGTCCAAAGGAGGTAAAGCTGTCACTATTTTACAAGCACCTTAACTTGTTTACCTACCTACTATGTCCCTTTCTGTATTCTTGCTTCACTGGCAAAAGAATTTATCTGCTCTAGAATTTCAGAAGGGTTGGAACCTAGAGGTTCAAAAAAGTAGCATTTGGTTGGTATAAAGGTGATTGACTTAGAAGGTTAATATCATTTCTCAAATCTTTCTAAGTTTTACTATTCAGTATACCCCTGCAAAGTGCCAAAGGAATTCATCAAAGGATGATGCCAAGGGGTGTTCAACAACCATTTTGTGATTGTCATAATTCTATTGATGTTATGGGAAACCGCATATACAAAACAATAGAGGACCTAGAGAAAATATGATTATCTTCTATAGAGATGGAGGAGAAATGTGAATCAAAGAGCATAGAGTTTGGTCCCTCAAGTAACGTCGTCCATTAAAAGGACTTACTTGGTGTTTGAAGGAAAAGAGAATTCTGCATTTCTTAACGAAGTGATTAATGTTTATACATATAGCACACACGATATTCCATCATGTAGAGATGATTCACTAGCTTTTTTAGAGCTCCAATAAAATCACCTATGATAAAGAGTGTCTTTTGATGTTCACAAATCAATAAGACAAGATCATGTGCATCATAAAGAGAACAGAAAATTGACAATTTTGTAATATCAAGGTGGAGAGTAGATGCAAGATCAAGAAAGCGCAGAATCCAAGAAATTCAAGAAGTCCAAGAATCCAATTAAGATTAGGATTTCTTATTTCCTCTTTTAGTATGATTATATTTGTAGTTCTAGTCAAACTAGGATTATTAGTTGGTATTCTATTCCTACTAAAATTCCTTTTCCTATTTTAGTTAGAATAGGCTTTTCTTAACTTTATTCTTATTCTAGTTTAGTTAGGATAAGTTTTTCATCTTATCAATTTTACTCATTGTAAGACCTATTTATAGGACTTAATATGCTGAAAATAAACATGGGTGATTAGTTTTTTTAAGCTCTTACTTCAAAAATGTGATTTGCTTTTATTTCGTTGTTCTTCCTTTATTCAACGCTTCTTGCAATCTTGCGGGATTGAAGAACGTGTGTGTGAGGTTTCTTTTCATCTTATATTCTTCTAACGTGAGTTTGAAGAACGCTTCCGCTAGTTTTGTGAAAAACTTTAGGGGGGTGCTTTTGTTTTTCTCTCTTCTTTGTGCTTGAGAGGTGCAAAACCTTGAAAGTACATCAAGAGTTCTCAAAATCACATGTACCAGCACAGAAAACTCGGTTTTATATGCCGTTGAATCACTTTTTGGATAGTGCTGCTGGCTGCAGCAAAACAGCTGCTCCAGTTTTGGAAAGTGAAGGGAGTGGCAACCAAGGGGGCAGCACCAGGAAAATAGCCCAACATGTACTCATGCATGGGCATTAAGGAGCAATTGGAAGGCTTCCCTTCCACCTTGCGAAACTTTGCTCTTCCTTTCCTTGTTTGCCCTAACTTTCATGGATTTCCCATGATACAGCAGCCTTGTACAGACGATTCATTAAACTTTACGTATATGATCGTTGTTAGAGGCTTCTCTACTTGTTACATTCTTATAATCAGCTTACGTGATCAGACGGAAACTGAGAATCCAACAAAAATAATTCCAGGAGAAATGCCCTAATGATCTAGAAAAGACGAAACGGTAATGACAAAAAAGGTTGTGCAATTCCAATATAGTGGAAGGATATTATGATCTAGGGAAAGGTTTCATTTCCTAGTATATCAAGAGGAACAATCATCACTCGAACAAAAAATATATGATATAAAAACTGAACTTATAAATGAAAAGACAATAAACAGGAAGCATAAGTATAGCTTTACACCTAACTGGGGTCAAGGAAATACAGTAGCAGCGTACAGGATGTCTAATCATTCATCAAAAAATGCATACTGATAAAGGAAATAAAAATGGGAATGCTTACATCAAGAGGTGGATTTAGCAATTCGATTCCATTGCTTATTTGACCATAAGGCTCCATCAGATCAACAACATTTTCTAGATCCTCTTTCGTTAATGTCAATCCAAGATGATTCACCAGCATTCTGCTTAATTGCTTTACAGCTTTGGTCTTCCTTAACCATTTCGGGACAAGGCTGCTGAAGGTCTGCAGAACAGCAAACCCAATTATCCAGTTGAGAAAAATGGCTAGTGAAGAGGACAAAAGTAAAAAATTCTTCTTTTTTGTATGCGGAGAATCTCAGTGATGAAGCATTTGAGAGATGTTATGCAGTATATACATAACAATTGAAGAAAACAAGTGTATTGAAAATCAGCCCATGGTAACTGAACATGGTGAAACTCTATATTTTACAGAGAAACTTCATCAAGTTCAGCTTCCCAATCCTTTGTAAATCGCTCAATGTAGCAGTGATTGATTTTTTCATCATAAGATTGGTTTTTACGAAATTGATTTTAAGAGATTTGTTCTCATGAAGTTCGGGATTTTAGATGTATATCATCACCAGAATGACGATGTCATGGATGTGCCCTTTGACCATGTTCTTGAAATTCTCAGAATCTTCAAATACACGTCTAGTCTAGAAAAGAGCAACGAGATCCATGGTAATCTCATCTTTCCCCTTTTCTATTTCTCTCAGTAGACGCGGATATCATCGTTTCTTATTTGCCTTTAATTATGAGCTTTCAGTTCTAACATAATGTCATGAGACTCCTAGGCAGCTGGAGCCAATTCTGATGCAGCAGGCTTTATACGTTAGATAAGCGAGAATGTTACTACCACAACCTTTATAGACACCATCAGATTTCATTTCAAGATGTAAAAAGCCCAATTAGTCACCAGCTTTTAGAATAATTATTCACTGGAGATAATGTGTTAACAAGAAGTTCAAGCCCTATATTTGCAACATTATTCAAAGTATTACCATGACCACTATGTGCAAAGAGCTGAGCTGCTCAGGAAAGTGAACAATGGACAACAAATAGATGAATGAATAAAGTATCTCATATTATAGGGAGTGAACATTAGATCAAAAATCAGTCTTGTCTAACGGAATGTGCGTTAGAATATGGAGGCGAAGCTAATTGACATCCTTTTATAGATGCTTTTTATAGTTTTCTCCATACCATACACTGGATGTCGTGGTTATCAAAAACCTTTAGGCTAGATTGCATATTTTCATAAATCAGTCCAATAGCTGCAAAATTTGAAATTTTAGCCAGTCAAAATTATTCAAGAGTACACATAATGTCGTGATTTAGAAACAATAGGCAACAACCTATGCAATTCACACCCCCGAAGCAAGAAGATGGGAGAAATTACTTTTTCAAGCAATGACCCAAAGCATAATGTGTTTCTATCCAGACTCAGATATACTGGTCCTCTAAACTATGTATTTCATGGTTATTAGGATAGAAAACAGATGCTCATAATTTGCCAAGTTTATTCTCTTTTACTGGGTAGTCTTGGACAACAAATAAGAGTATGCATTTTGTTCAGGAGCTCCAATCAAATGAAATATTTGCATGATTCCAACAATCATATCCCATGACTTAACTACCATACCTGGAATATACTCTCACAGCCTATTTCAGGATACTGTTAGCGGTCTCTCCTTTTTTTTGGACAAGGTAAGTGAAATGTCATTAAAAGGCATCACTAAGATGCACAGATTACAAAAGAGGGAAAATGTCAGCTCTAATACCAAAAAAACTATCATATGGCTAAGGAGCTGACAAAATCCAGTAACATATTAGAGTTATTTACAGGGGAAAGTTTCACCCAACTAAAAAGGTTAACCAAACATTTAGCTTTCAGGTGACTTCTAGGAGTTGAAATACCATCAAAACAACTGCTATTTCTTTCAATCCAAATACACCAACTGTTAGCTGTCTCATATTAGAAAGTTCTTTCACTAAGCAGTGCTGTTTTTATTTCATGTTTAAGTACTTTACTTCCTCAAAATGGAAAATCGTGTTCTCTCTACTTCTGGATCCCTTCACATTCAAGTATAGAAAGCTTAATTATCTGAAGATCCAATGAAAATGGCTGAATTAATACTGATATAATAAAAATGGCTTTAGTAATACTTCTCGATGCAGGCGTTTCACTAATAAAAACGGGTCATACTGCTAACAACTATAAAAACTGACTGGCAAAACACTTTAAACTGAAGGGGAATGAGAAAGGACAGGCAACAGGATTTGAACGCTGAAACCACCAGAAAACTCCATGAGAGAGCTGCCTGAAGCTCGAGAAAGCAGGAAACTTCTAAAAAACACGAATGAAAAGGGAACAACGGGGAGCAAACCCCTAGAGGAAGGACGAACAACCCGTGCTTTTCTGAAGCCACAGAATTTCACAAGTTGCCTGAAGCTTGAGATAAAACTTCGAATAAACAAGATATGAAAGCGAAAGAAGGGCAGCGAACCCCTAGGGGAAGGTTGTAAGACCTGGGTTCTTCTTCCTTCAGGCCACAACCTAGGCAGCAAGCTCCTAATGTGTTTGCTAGCAATCTTAATAGGGAGGTGTGCCTTATGGGGTCACAAAATCAGGTAAATACAAGGAGAAAGAAGGTATTAGGATTGTAGAAACTAGAAAGGGAGGGATGAAGAAGGAGCTTCGAGGACAGCCTTTAAGGGCAATAACTGGGGGCAGTTGTCAAACTCCATGTTGGAGTTAGAAACTAGAAAGAGATGCTTCAGTTGGACTTAGCTGGGGGTAATGAGGTGGGTATAGGGGGTTGCAGGGGAAAAGGGATGGAGTTAGGGTAGCAACATGACCACAATGCCTTTCGACCTGCGGCGAGCAAACCCCAACAAACCACTTCAGGATACTCACCTCCATGTGTTGTCAAGTAGCCTCCCAAAGTTCCAACGCCGTCGATGCATCAGATCCACATGTCGGATGTGTGAAGCCTTGTCTGTCCATCTTCCAAAGCAGATCTCTTCTCCTTGGAGGTTGGCCAGTGATTCCTTGTCACCACATCCAAATTCCGACTGCCGAAGCCCTAGTCCAGTGACCCCAATCAACCATATCTTTTCATTATATTCTATTTTACTTTTTGGTATAATCTTTTATATGGGTGTTTCCCCATCATTAATAAAATTATTTTATCTATCAAAAAAAAAAAATTCCAATTACATTCTTGATTAAAAAAAATGATTCAATTGCATTTCAGCTTTTTCCCTTGATGCCTACCCATCGTTAAAGTGCACATAATACGCCCTATTTTACATAAGGAGTAATTAGTGCACTTAATGTACCCTTGTTACATAAGGAGTAATTTATAAACTGTATTGGCATGCAAAGCAAAAACAAAATGCCATGGAGGCAGTACTAGGCAAGTTATAGTAAAACATGCAGTGGACTAACATTTGACTCCCCAAAGTGAAAAAGATAAATCCTAATTACAGAAGCATAACAACCAATAGTGGAAGAGGAAGTGTGCACAGATAAATATGCAGGAAAGGAGCTTGAAGTACATGCTGATACAGTGCAGTAAATTAGCTGGTATTGGCAGTAATTACCGCAAACCAGCTGCAGTAGGTCATAAGCTCATCTATGTCCAGGAATTTGCTTCGAAAGGCACTACCTTCCAAGGCCACGGGAACAAGTTTTAGTTCACTTGGACGCAAAAGAGCTGTTTTCTCTGCGACCTGTTAGGCAAAGTAGCAGTTTTATAAAATATCAGTACTAAATTTGACAAAGCTCTTCTGCTCTGCATTTAACATATAACAACAATAACTTCTAAACAAGTTGAGAACAGCAGAAGAAAGCAAAGCATAATCAACATAAGATTTGCAAAGAATCACTAAGTTGTGACACTGAAATATTTAATACAAATCATGCAAAACTACCAAAATAGGTTTAAATTATCGCTGCTGAAAGACTTCCACAAAATTGTAATCATTTCTAGTTCAGATAATCAGGTATCCAAGTCAACAATATTTAAAATACATCATCATCCCCATGCATGATCTAGGTTGATTCTCATGCCCCATATGACCAAGAAGCTTCTCAAATTAGTAAGGAGCTGNTTATCACTGTTAATTTTAGGAGTTATCAGTCTAGCTCAGGTATTGTGATCTCACAGCGGAAGTATGCCTTATACATTCTTGAGGAGACAGGAATCACAGGCGGTAGACCTGTTGACACTCCGATGGATCCGAATTCTATACTTCTGCCAGGACAGGGGGAGCCGCTTAGCGACCCTACAAGATATAGGCGGCTGGTTGGTAAATTAAATTATCTCACAGTGACTAGACCTGACATTTCCTTTCCTGTGAGTGTTGTAAGTCAGTTTATGGATTCTCACTGTGATAGTCATTGGGATGCAGTTGTCTGCATCCTTCGGGTATATAAAACCGGCTCCAGGCAAAGGGTTATTGTTTGAGGATCGAGGTCATGAGCAGATCGTTGGATACTCAGATGTTGATCGGGCAGGATCACCTTATGATAGACGTTCTACGTCTGGATTTGTGTTTTAGTAGGAGACAATTTGGTGTCTTGGAAGAGCAAGAAACAGAATGTAGTTGCTTGGTCTAGTGCAGAAGCAGAATATCGAGCAATGGCTATGGCAACTTGTGAGGTAATTTGGATCAAACAATTGCTCAAGGAGTTGAAATTTGGTGAAATCAGTCAGATGGAACTTGTGTGCGATAACCAAGCTGCCCTTCATATTGCATCAAATCTGGTGTTCCATGAAAGGACTAAACACATTGAGACTGACTGTCACTTTGTCAGAGAAAAAATACTCACAGGAGATATTGCTACAAAATTTGTGAAGTAGAGTGATCAGCTTGTTGATATTTTCACCAAGTCCCTCACTGGTTCTCGTATTAGTTATATATGTAACAAGCTCGGTACATATGATTTATATGCATCGGCTTGAGGGGAGTGTAGTTTGTTAGTTCAATATGTAAATAACCTTAATCCCATATGCAGTAGAATATGTATTATATGTATTATTGTCAATATATCAATAATATAATTTTCGGAGTTATTAATTCTCACAATCACTAAGTTGTGACACTGAAATTTTTAATACAAATCACGCAAAACTACCAAACTAGGTTTAAATTATCGTTGTTGACAGACTTCCACAAAATTGTAATCATTTCTAGTTCAGATAATCAGGTATCCAAGTCAACAGAATTTAGAATACACATCATTCATCCCCATACATGATCTAGGTTGATTCTCATGCCCCATATGATCAAGAAACTTTTCAAATTAGTAAGGAGCTGTCTAATAGCCGGTTTAGCCAAACTTATCCAAAGCCAAAAGCACTTTTTTTTATAAAAAGAAGTGCGTTTTTTTCAAAGTTGAAGTGTTTGCCAAGCTTTTAGAAGACAAAAAAAGTGTTTTTTAAGTAGAAGCAGAAAAAAGTAGGTTCTCTCCAAAAACACTTTTTTGAAAAGCACTTGATAAATGAACCTTGAGCCTAACTCAACCCCAAAAGCCAGCTTATGAGATGAGGATTACCCAAGACCATCTAAGGAGACCAAGAACTTCAAATCCCACCGATGTGGGACAACTCAACACCCCTCCCCCTCACGCTCAGGCCTGCAAACTGGAGCGTGGACAACATAAATGGGGGCTCAACATCGGTAACATAATTGGGATGAACCTGATAAATGAACCTTGGGCCTAACTCAATCCCAAAACTAGCTTATGAGGTGAGGATTATCCAAGACCATATAAGGAGACCAAGGACCTCAAATCCCATCGATGTCGGACAATTCAATAGCACTTTTGAGAAAAATACACTTAGAAGCAATTTTTAAAAGCTTGGCCAAACCTTAGTTGTTGCTCAGAATTGATTTTCAAATTAATTAGCCAAACACAAACTGCTTCTCACCAAAAGTACTTTTGAAAAAAGCATTTTTGAGAAAAAACGCTTCTCAAAATAAGCTAATTTTTCCAGCTTGGCCAAACAAGCTACTCCCTCCATTCCAATTTATGTGGAACCTGTTTAAACGGGCACGGAGTTTAAGAAAAAATAAAGACTTTTGGAATTTGTGGTCCTAAACAAGTCAAAAAGTGGCCCAGAGTATTTATGTGGTTATAAAAGCTTCTCATTAAGGGTAGAATTGTAAGTTTAAGCTAAATTATTTTCAAATTTAGAAAGGGGTCATTCTTTTTTGAACGAACCAAAAAGGAAATAGGTTCACATAAACTGGAACGGAGGAGTATAAGAATTGCTTCTAGAGTTTACTTATCAAAAAAAAGAAAAAACTGCTTTCAGAGTTTGAAGTAGCCTGAGCTTCTCTTTAATTCAATAAACTTGAAGGGCAGGCCTATATGATTCTCTGACAAAAATGATAATTGATGAGCTCTACAAGAGTAGAGTCTGCAGACCAAATAAGTGCACCTTTCTCCAATCTACAAAATCTATAAGTTCTTCATCCATAGTTCCTTTTGCAGCTATCGTAAGTATCTTTTCTCTTTCTGCTTGAGTAGGCCGCTGAAGACGGAATATCCTATCCATCCGACCAGGGCGTTGCAACGCCTCATCGATTTGCTTGAGATTTCTAGTAGTAGCCATCAAGACCACACCATCCTGTTTTTCAAACCTGCAACATAAGATGGTATGAGAGAACAGTAAGAAACTAAACATGAAGATGCATTTATTATTTATTTCAATCAACTTAGATTATGCTTTGACCAATTACAAGGTAACAATGACCTGAAGTATGTCCTAGTTACAATTTACAATATGTGAGAATCCTAGAAGAACAAAATAAACCACAAAACTTATGTCCTTGCTTGCAGCATAAACGTTTTGGATATATTATTTAAAAACTATTACTACAACAAATAAGGAGATCAAAATTTGTTTGTCCTAAGCAAGATCAAGTGTGACAAGTTTATTTCCTGCTGGTATTTCCTTAAATCATAGTGGCACCACTTACAGGCCTGCAAGTTTTGCAGACAATTGAATAGAATTTTTTTTAAAATCCTCTGAGCACCAACAGGGCCATGAATTTACTAATATGAGTGTGGATTAGCCTGATATTCCAAAATATCAAGGAAGCCACAGAATGCATTTCACCGGCACAGAGAAAACAAGGAAGACACAGAATGTATTTTCCAACTAGCTCATGAGGTGAGGGACCACAGACAACACCATTAATCCACGTGAGACTCGACCTGAGTATAAACTGCATTATTATATCTAAAAGTGATGAAGAATGCATTTCACCGGCACAGAGAAAACAAGGAAGACACTAAAGCAGGATGATGATGAAAAAAGAAAAAGAACATTATGTCTTAATATGATGTAATGATAAGAAGACTAGAAAAGGGAGTAATGACCAATGTAAGAACACTTGTTATATGAATTAGAATGTTTACTTCTTATTACAATTTGTTTTAAGGAAATTCAATGGAGAACTTCACATAGCTAGATGAATATTAAAGTTACTTTTACAAGGGCAAGGCATTGTTTCGCTCATCATTGTAGGTTGCTTACTTGGAATACAAAATCTGAACTCCATCTAACTTTTTGGCATGAAATTGGCGAAGATAATCACCCAAGAGAATGGACATACCTCATTGTAGGTGTATGCTGCAAACCTAAACCAAATAGGTTGTCATGTTCCTTCTGTAATGGTTTAAACTTTAAATTATATGGTAGCCACAATTCAATTGGTATCAAAGTGGCAGAGGCCCTACGTTCGAGTCTCACCAGGGCTCAAGAAAAAGAATTAGGTTTGTCGATTAGCATAATTCAAGGAGATTTGATTATCTTTAGGAGATTGTTGATTAACATGATTTCAGGAGAATTAGGTTTGTTACTTTCATTGATTGCTGCACTAAGATGACTTGGGTACATTTGTTAAAAGCCAAAAATGAAGTTTTCTCTTGTTTTTAATCATTTCATAAAACTCAGTAAGATGCCAAAATAAAAATCTTCAGAACTGACAATGGCAACGAATATATGGATAAAAGATTTGGTGCTCATTTGGAATCCAATGGGATCATTCATCAGACTAGTTGTCCTCATACTAGTGCACAAAATGGAGTCACGGAAAGAAAAAATAGGCATTTATTAGAAGTAGCAAGATCTCTTATGTTCACCATGCATCAACCAAAATCTAACTAGGAGGATGCTATTCTGGTGGTTGCCTATCTTATTAACAGAATGCCACTTAAAACCCTCGACTTTCAAAATTCTCTGGAAGCTTTAAAGAGTAAGAATGAATATATTTTTCCTCCAAAGGTGTTTGGGTGTGTTTGCTTTGTCCACACTAGGAATTCTATGAAACTTGATCCTAGAGCTATAAAGTGTTTTTATTGGGTACACTCCCAACACACAAATGTTATCATCCTCTCTCTAGGAGACCTTTCGTTAGCATGGATACAACTTTCGAAAATCTGAGCCCTATTTAAGTATTACATCATCACCTCTTCAGGGGGAGAGCAGCAAGGAGGAAGAGGTGATTCTACCTAGTACCATTATTGGATCTCTTGATGACATTGTCACATGGGAAAGAGAAATTGGAGAAAGAATTCAGGCAGAGACTATTGGGTGTTTGGATAGGCCTGATTTGAAAACTTACTCAAGGAGAAATAAAACCGAATAAGCCATCATGCAATCTACCGAAGCTGAACCTTGTTCTACTGGTGAGCTTGTTGATTAGCATGATTCAAGGAGACTTGATTTAGGAGTGTTGATTAGCATGATTTCAGGAGATTTGATTATATTTAGGAGAACTAATTTTATTCTGATTTTATTTGATTTGATTTGATAGCTGGATTGATTGTATATTAATTAGCATTAGGAGCTTTGTACAAATTACCTTGCTCATGGGATGTAAACATACACATAAATACAATAAGCCTTTTCTTCTTCTCAAAATCTTCAGAGTTATTTACATTTTCTAATGAGTTAGATGTGCCTATTGCTCACAAAAAAGGAGTCGGATATTGCACCACCAAACACCCTTTATCTAATTTTGTCTCCTATAATTCTTTGTCTCCCTTCTATAGAGATTTTGCCTTGTCTATTTCTTCTGTGTCTATTCCCCAGAATTTGAGGGAAGTTTTTGCAGATCCTAAATGGAAGCAAGCAATTACTGAAATAATGAAGGCCTTCTCAAAAAATAAGACTTGGAACTTGTCACTTCACCACCAGACAAGAAGTTGGTTTGCTGCAAATGGGTCTTCATTGTGAAACCCAAAGCCGATGGCTCAATTGAAAGATTTAAAGCAAGATTGGTGGCTAAGGGATTTACTCAGACTTATGGAGGGGAATACCAAGAGACATTTGCTCCTGTTGCTAAGATCAACATTATTAGAATTCTTTTGTCTTGTGCAGCTAATGTTGATTGGGACTTGCAACAGTTTGATGTAAAAAATGCATTTCTTCATGAAGACTTAGCAGAAGAAGTGTATATGGAGATTCCTCCTGGATTTGATATTGCCCAAAGTCAAGGAAAGGTATGCAGATTGAAGAAAGTCTTATACGGACTGAAGCAATCCCCCATCGCTTGGTTTGACAGATTCAGCAAAGCAATGATCTCTTTCGGGGTGATAGGGAAGCTAGTTTCAGGACATCAAAATGCTTTCATCAAATCAAGGAAGATCACTAATGCAGCTCTAATAGCCAATGAAATATTAGGTTGGAAGATGAAGTTTGGGCAACCTGGTCTACTTTTCAAACTTGACATTGAAAAGGCATTTGACCAACTCAATTGGGCGTACTTGATTAATATATCAGGAAGATGAGATTTGGAGAACGCTGGATTAGATGGATTAAATTTTGTATTACCACAGTGAAGTACTCAATTCTAATCAATGGTGGACCTGTTGGGTTTTTCTCTCCCCAAAAAGGCCTCAGACAGGGAGATCCACTGTCACCTTTTTTGTTCATTCTTGCTATGGAAGGCCTAAGCAAAATGTTAGACAAAGCTAACCAGCTCCATTGGCTAGAGGGTTTTAAGGTGGGCAATGAAGAGGGCAATTCTGTGATACTGTCGCATCTGCTATATGCAGACGACACTCTGATTTTTTGCGGAGCTGAAAAATCACAAGTTCTATATCATAATCTCACGCTGATGATCTTTGAAGCTATTTCAGGCCTACACATGAACATGCTGAAAAGCACCATCTATCCGGTTAATACAGTCCCAAATCCGGATGAGCTTGCAGAGGTTATGTACTGTAAAGTAGGATCTTTCCCTACATCATATCTGGGGCTCCCATTGGGAGCTAGATACAAGTCTCAAGGTATCTGGAATGGAGTGATTGAAAATTTGAAAGGAAACTGCCTTCCTGGAAAATGCAATACCTATCATTTGGAGGCAGACTTACACTCATCAATAATGTGCTAGATAGTATACCAACATATTTCATGTCCTTATTCCCAATCCCAGCTAAGGTACAAAGGAAACTTGATCAATTAAGAAGAGATATTTTATAGGAAGGCAACAGTAACACTCACAAGTTCCATCTAGTTAAATGGTCAAGAGTTATTCTTCCTAAGAACCATGGAGGGCTAGGAATAAAGGATCTTGCGTTGCATAATAAGAGTTTATTGATGAAATGGCATTGGAGGTACAACATGGAAAGTTCGGGGCTATGGAAAACAGTAATTCAAGCAAAGTATGGGGTGGCAAACAACTGGTGCACTAGGCAGGGGAGAGCTCCACATGGTTCAGGCCCCGGAAACACATTTCAAAGCTTTGGGGAGAATTCAAGCCAAGTCATCACTCAAGCTAGGGAACGAGGCTCATATATCTTTCTGGAAAGATAAATGGCTAGGAACAGAGACCTTGAAAGATGAATTTCCAGCTTTATTTTTACTTGCTAGTAATAAAGATGCAACTATCTCACATGTTTGGCAAAATAGTGCTTGGGCTCCACATTTCAAAAGGGACATCCAAGATTGGGAGTTGGATGATCTGTTGGGTTTGCTCAATAAATTATCAGGTGCTAATGTCAATTCCCAGGTGCAGGATAGGTTGGAATGGGGTGAATCAAAAGAGAGAACCTATACTGTCAAAAGAGGATATGACAATCTATGCTCTAACTAGGAATTGATCAACAAATGGCCTTGGAAGCTTATATGGAAAACCAAACTACCTACAAAAGTAGGTGGCTTTATGTGGACAACATTGTATGAAGCTTGTCTTACTCAAGACAATCTTAGCAGAAGGAGTATACCGATTGTGAATAGATGTTATATGTGCCAGATGGAATCTGAGAGTGTGAGGCATCTTTTTTTGCATTGTTCAGTAGCAACTGATATTTGGAGTATGTTTTTATCAGTTTTTGGACTTGCGTGGGTTATGCCAAATAGTGTCAAGGAAGCTTATAAGAGTTGGTGTTCTTGGAGAGTTGGGAAATCCATCAAAAAGACTTGGTCCATGGTACTTGGTGCTATTTTGTGGAGTATTTGGAATGAAAGGAACCGTAGATGTTTTGATGGGATTTCAACTCCCAACCACACTCTTAAAGCCACTTGTTTAATTAACTTATTTAGTTGATTCAATTAGGCCCCTGTAACTAGTGTTGAACTATTTCTGGATTTTGTCTGCTCCTTAGTTGTCCTGTAAGTTTTTGTAAGTTTTTTTGTATATGAGCAGACATTACCTTTATGTTGTAATTTTTGCTATGCATCTCCTTGATGCCATTTAATGAAATTCCCTTACTTCATCAAAAAAAAATGATCTCTTTCGGTTACCAACAAAGCAATATTGATCACTTCATCAAACGGGTAAACTCACTCTTCTCATATTTTATGTTGATAGCATAATAATGACAGAAAATGACAAAGAGGAAATGGACCAATTGAAGAAATTTTTGGCATGAATTTGAGATCAAGGGTTAAGGAAATTGTAGTCTTTCTTGGGAATTGAGGTTGCTAGATCAAAAAGAGGAATCTTTATTTCCCAAATGGAAGTATATTCTGGATCTCTTGAAAGAAACTGCTATGACAAGTTGCAGATCCGCGGAATCGCCCATCGAAAGCAATCACAAGTTACAAAGCGGAGCTAGAGAGTCAGTTGATAAGGAAAGATATTAGAGGTTGGTTGGAAGACTCATTTATCTCTCTCACACTAGACCAGACATAACATATTCAGTTAGCCTGGTGAGTCACTTCAAGCATGATCCCTGAGATCCTCACATGCAAGTTGTCTTTTACATTTTGCAGTATCTGAAGTCGGCTCCCGGGAAAGGTCTACTTTTCTCCAGACATGATCACCTCCAAATAGAAACCTTTACAGACGTGGATTGGGCTGGATCTCTAGATGACAGAAGATTTAAATCTGGTTATTGTATGCTTGTAGGAGGAAACTTGGTTACTTGGAGAAGTAAGAAGCAAAATGTAGTTGCTAGATCAAGTGCAGAGGCAGAATACAGAGCAATGGCCTAGGGTGTTTGAGAACTGCTTTGGCTACAAAAGCTATTAGAGGAATTGAGACTGTCTGAAAAAGGAAAACATTCCTTGTAATCTAACAATAAGGCTGCCATCAGCTCATAACCTAGTCCAGTATGACCGAACAAAGCATGTGAAAATTGACTGACACTTCATCAAAGAAAAAGTTATAACTGGTGTCTTGAGTTTGTTTCATGTGTCATCGGAAAAACAGTACCAAAGGTCTCAACAAGCGAACTTTCCATACATTGAGTTGCAAGTTGGGCATGTGCGACATATTTGGACTGATGTACTTTCAAGGTTTTGCACCTCTCAAGTACAAAGAAGAGAGAAAAACAAAAGCACCCCGCTAAAGTTTTTCACAAAACTAGCGAAAGCGTTCTTCAAACTCACGTTAGAAGAATGTAAGATGGAAATAAACCTCACCTACACGTTCCCCAATCCCGCAAGATTGCAAGAAGCGTTGAATAAAGGAAGAACAATGAAATAAAAAGTAAATCACGTTTTTGAAGCAATAGCTTAGAAAAACTAATCACCAATGTTTATTTTCAGCATATTAAGCCCTTTAAATAGGCCTTACAATGAGTAAAATTGGTAAGGTTAAGGAAAACTAATCCTAATTAGACTAGAATAAGAATAAGGCTAAGAAAATCTATCCTAACTAAAATAGGAAAAAGAATTCTAGTAAGAATGGGATACCAACTAACAATTCTAGTTTGACTAGAACTACAAATATAATCCTACTAAAACAAGAATTAAATTACTAGGAAATAAGAAATAACAAATCCTAATCTTTAAGGAAAAGAAATCCTAATCTTGGATGGATTCTTCGCTTCTTGAATTTCATGAATTTTTAGCATTCTTGATCTTGCATCATTCTCCCCTGGTTGAAAAAGACTCGTCCTCGAGTCTAACAGCTTCCATAGATGGCGCAAGATTTGCTATAGTAAGAACGGAGACCCAAGGGGAAAAAAATGGGGACCCAATGCTCACCAGGTTTTAAGTTACATTTTGCTAGTTTATCATAGAGCTTCTTCACGTTATAAGCAAATTTGGCATATGGTCGAACTAAATCCCACTTTCTATGTTTCAACTTTCTACCAAGTCTTCTCCATGTAATCTTTCTATATGGACTCTCAAACTTCAACTTACGATATGAAGTTATTGGTATAGACTTAACTAACTCCATGTCTAGCTTTGAGTTAAGCATGGAGATCAACGCTCTTCNGGACCAACTTGAGGGAGAGTGTTAATTAGCATGATTCAAGAAGATTTAATTATATTTCGAAGATTGTTGATTAGCATGATTTCAGGAGATTTGATTTGATAGCTGCATTGATTGTATAGATTTATTTTATTTCCTTAATAAGCATTAGGAGCTTTGTATAAATTCACTTGCTCATGTGATATAAACACATACAGAAATACAAGAAACATTTTCTTATTCTCAAAATCTACAAGGTTCGCACATGAGAAACCGTATGGCAAGCCTAATATAAACAAATTAATTTTTTTAATATTTTAAAATGTTATATGAGATGGTAGATACAACTCAACAATGTAAAAGAAGATAAAGTTGAAAATTTAGAACAATTACAAAATAATAAAAGCTCTTCCTAGAAGAATTGACAGCTAGTAAATCATATCCACCCCTATTTTCCGTATGACGGCCGAGAAATCTCCTATGGACGGCTACCCCAACATCAGTTGACCCACAAGTTTAAAACTCGAGGAAGTATGGCTCCCCTTACCCTGCTCCCACTTGAATGTTAGGCTCCTCGTGAAGATAACGTGTGCTCTATCCACACATACAATATTGCGTCTTACCACTGAATCAAAGCCCTGGGTGCTCATATTAGCCCTACCTTCTCCCCTCCACAAGACCACAACAAAAGTAGACATAACTATTATATAAGAAGAGCTGGGTAACTCAACAATAGCTAAATGATGCCATTTGCCTGAGGTATGATTTACATCAACATGATGCTTGTCTGTTGCTGCAATATCTAAACTTTTTAAAAACATGAGAATACACTTACCCATCAAGTTCCACCAAGAGTTGATTGATGAAGGCTTCATGGTCCTGCTTTTTAGTGTGGATAAACTTCCCTCTGACTCCAGCAAAGAGGTCAAAATCCTCCACAAATATGATTACAGGGGCCTGAACAGGATAATGAAGTAAGCAGATATCACCACAGAAAAACAGCTCTGAAGAATGCACCAGATGTGTTCCTTGAAATCATACTCTATATTACTCCTCCAGCAGTGTTGGCTTTTCACTCAGTCAGTCAAGTAAAAATCATAAGATTAAGCCACAAAAAGGTTCCACCCCGGTAAGCTTTTGCAAACTTTCTTATTATCTCTTGCATAATATTAATAATGAGTTGCAGTTCAAGATAAGCCATGTTTTACTTGATTTCCGTTCAATGAAAACATGCACACAAACAAAATCAATCAGCTTTTGTCAGTTCGTGCAAAGAGAGATGTGTCTTTATTCATTATCCGTGCTATATCAGCAGCCAATTTCAACAAGACCCTTTTCTTTTTCTTTTTTAGAATAACGGCAAGAAGTTGCAGATGGACACCATAACCAGGTATTTGGAAATTGTTAGGAGAGGCAATACACAAAGAAACCAGACTGACCAGATCACGTGCTGTTTGAAACAGCTCTCTAACATTTGATGCACTTTGGCCAACCCATAAACCAGCCTCTAACTGCTGGGCTTTAACTTCAACAAGAGGCACCTTAGCTTCTGCTGCAATTGCTAGTGCTAGGGATGTCTTTCCAGTTCCTCTCTCCCCTACAATAAGAACTCCCTGTCATATCACACATGAAATAGAACTTAGTGCAAGCATAAAGCATCGTTTTAGCTTTAACATGTGTTGTGGATACGCATCCATATTCACCCACGCATACACAAACAATGCTACAGTGGTTTTTTGTGATTGGGATGATGTGCTGGTAATTATATCAATACATCCCACAACATGATATGGTGGTAACCTTTTACAAGAACCATTGTTAATCGTACAGAAGATTGGCCATATATTACTCATTATGGTACAATATAGCAATAACATGACGTTCATCGACGTAATTAGATCACTTTGACAAACTCTGCAAGTTCTTTCGTTCTTTTTACTTTATTAAAAATGAGGATTGCCAAAAGAATGTCCTGTAAAATTGGTGCACAATAACCAAATTCAATTCTGAAATTAGATGCTTTTTGTTCTCTCCTTTTTCTGTTTGTCCTAGAAGTAGCAAAAGTTACCAAATGTCAACAATTTTATGACAACTGTAACATGGCCAAGCTTATGGAGGCTTACAAGATCTTGCCAAGAAGACTTGAAGGCTCACAATAGGCTAAATTAGAGATTCAAGTGGTGGATTTGCAAGAAATGGCTCAATTGCTTGCTCTAGCCGGCTTAATTACACACTTTAGTCATAATTTAGTTAAGTAGTGGCTAATTTTATAATTAGGAGCTAGCTATTATAAGGAGTAGCTCAGCCCTCATTTCTCCTTAGATTGGATGATGAAAGAAATGATGTCTCTTTATTTCCTTTTCCGTATTTATGCTTATCTTAATTTCTTTCTTTAATTTGAGGATATTAAGTTTTAGCTTGTGAGCGATTAGTTTTGTGAGAGATTTATGGTGATTGGTGAAAACCCCAATGTTGCCTTTTGACTTGCCCTTGGATTTGCAAGAGGAAGCATTTTTCTTCAGGATCCAAATTGCCTAGGTGTTTGTTCTTGATTCTGATAGAAAATAATTAGGAATCTTCTCATCTAATCATTGTCTGTTACTTCATTGCTTGCTTGTGTCGATCTTGTATCCTTATTTTCTTTCCTGTTTTTCATATCCATGTTCTTGACATAGATTCATATCATCTTGATACCAAGATGATAACAAACAAGGACGGAAACATGGATAAGGAAATTCAACAAGGAATCAAATATAGAAGTTAATTAGGATCTAGAATTAATTAGACGAAAGAAAGCCTAATCAACTCAAAGAACAATTAATGAAGCACCTAAACTATGGAAATCCTCAAGAGATCAGGACTCTTGCAAATTCCTGGACAAAGTTAATCAAGCAGTGCATTAATTCACTACTAAACACTCACAATCTACACATTAATTAAGCTCAAATTGAAGGAAACAATTAAGATAAATATAAATGCATAAATACAGAAATACATAAAAGGAAATAAAGAGACATCATGTCTCTCATCATCAAAGTCTAAAGGAGAAATGATGGCTATGCTACTATGATAGTAGCTAGCTCCTAATTATAAAATTAGCCACTACATAACTAAACAATGGCTAGAGTGTGCAATAAGCTGGCTAGAGCATGCAATTGGGCCATTTCTCGCAACTCCTGCAATTGAGAACTTTAGCCTATTTTGAGCCTTAAAGTCTCGGCAAAAAACAAAACAAAACCAAAAAAGATCATCACTTCATTTGATTGGACAGAAAATTGAATCTGGATGCATTGTCACAAGGTTTGTCAACAAAAGACTAGTTGGCAGATGTTTTCACAAAATCACTCTGAGGGTCCAGAATTAACATCATTTGTGGCAACCTAGGAGTATACGATATGTAAGCCCCAGCTTGAGAGAGTGTTAAATATGTCAAATACAGATACAATGTAAATATGGAAAGAATCCCAAATCCCTGTAATTAAGTTATTAGGAGATTTTGTAGGAAATAATTATTTTCTTTGCTTTTTCTGTTTCTTGTAAAGATTATTTAAACCCAATAGTTTGAGTGAATAATCAAGCAATCTATTTCCCAAATTCTCTTCTCTTCTTGTTTCACAGTGTCATTCTTTTCGGGACGGAGTAAAAAGGAAATACCATCACATAAATTAGGACAGAGAGACTATGCATTGTTACTCTTAAAATCGGAATTACTCTTTTCCAGTATGTGATTACACTACTAACGTAAGAGAGCCTGAGATAGCCACACCAGTCAGGAACAACCAAAACCAACAACTGGGCCAAGGAAGAATTTTACCTATCCATCTTCTTGTTTCGTCTTTGATGTCACTTATGAGCCTATTGCATTAGTTGTAACATAATACATCAAGACTTAAAGGATGAATTGGAGTCAAAAAGTGATATATCGGAGATCTACACCAATTTGCAGTTAACTTGATGTCAAGTTAACACGTGACTTTGACTCTGCACATAGAAAGCCACTGAACTTAACTGAATACACAAATTGACTTCAAAATACAGCAAGAACCATTCTTGTAGGACCAGAGAGATTATGATTATTGTTGAGAGAACCATAACATCTATAATATATTAAAACCACGAAGCCCTTAGCGAAATGTCATTCGCATTTTTTACCCCTTGAAAATAGACTTTACATTAGACAAAATTGTAATGTAACTATTTTCCTAGTATTTAGGACTTTGAAATCTACTAAAATTTTGGCTATAAAAACTCTTATTTAGAAATTTAAAATAAAATAAATTTTTTACTTATAAAACTTTTCCTTATTTAGATTGTATAAAGTAACTAACCTTTTTCCTATATGTATGTGATAAAGTGTATATAAAAAGAACATGCAAAAGCTTTGTATTCTGCTTTCTTCCTCGAACTTAATTTTCATGAAGAGAGCATATAAACTTACTGTGGATATATGGAGGTGTATGTAGGATATCGCAAAACCATCTTAAACAACATTCTCTTATCTTCTTATCAGCTATGTGTACTACTTACAATATAACTGAGTAGTTATGATCTGAAGGGTTTCGAACTTCCCAACTCTAACACTGCTACAACAGATGATGGACTTCCCAACCCTCTTCTTCTTCCTAAGACTCCACCACCCCCACCAAGATATGCTTCCCGCGTCCAAACCCCAGTAAAGTCTGTCGGCATCTGACATCTCACGCGCCCTCACACGCCGTTAACGCGCCGGATTTTCCGGCGAGATCTAGCCACGCGCCGGCGCGTGTGGCATCTTCCAGTGACTTTTTCAATTTTCTTTCTTCTGACAACCTCTTCTCGAGGCTTTTCCGAGCCTTCCCGTCTCAGCTTCACCAAAATCTGAAGACTTTTTCTTTTTTCCGGCCATTAAACACCAGAATCCGGCGTCTGTTTCCGTTGTTCAGTACCAGAAAAGCTCTTCCCTTCCTATGTTCTGTTTTCCACCCACTGTGACTATTGATTTTTCTAACCTTTGAGGTTTTTCCGGTCGTTTCTCACCTCATTTTTTGGGACAGTCACATCTAGAATATGATGGATTCTACAGAGAGAAACTCTTACTTCTCTCTAGAATCTAGAAAATTGTAAAACATGTCCTTCATCAAAGCTGTCTCTTGGCCAACCCTAGAACTTGGGGGAAGATGCCATCAAAAGCTTGACGTAGGGCAAGAGCCGCATTTCTCGCTATCTGAGGAGCACACTCTCATGCGCAAGGGCTTCTTGAGATCTTGTCTGATTGGGTCTTTCTCCAAATGGGTTGGTTCTCCAGAGGCTGTTAGGAACTGGGCAGCAGGGGCATGGAACGTCAAGGACGGGCTGAAAATATCGCAACTGGGGGACACACAATATCTCTTTCGCTTTGTCGACGAGTCTCAAGCTTCCGAAATTCTTGTAAGAGGAAATAGGTGGTTCGATGGGAACTTCTTAAAGCTAGACAGATGGGTGGAGCACGATGGGTGTCTAAACCCTCGTTTCACCGGCGAATCATTGGTGGTCAACATGGTGGGTCTCCCGGTGCATCTTTGGTGTCTTGAATTATTCAAGAAGATTGGGGATATCTGTGGGGTTTTATTGATGTCGCTTGCAGCTTACACGATCTCTCGCGAGTGAGTATTGTGGTGAGGAAAGGGGGCAAAATCCCTGTCTCCACTGTGGTGGAAGATGGCTACTTGAGTTACAGGGTTTGGTTGAGTCCTGAATTTCGCTCTATCTTTATGCCTGAGATAGTGGCGGAAGAAAAGGGAAGGTCAAATAGAATGGAGGGGTGGGGAAACTAGTCTCTGAGGAGAGGGGAGGGCTCACCGGATCAATGGACTAAGCCGGAGTCAGACATTAGATCGAGAAGAGACGGGAGGTTTGATTTTGGGAGAAGAAGACAAAATTTCAACAGGAGGAAAAGACGTGAATGGGTTATTGATGCGGGCTGGAAAGACAGAATGGGCCGGTCCTCTTCTAATTATCCTAGGGCCAGGCAAGATTTCAGCAAGTATAGGCCTGGCCTCCTCACATGGGCCCAGTAACTTTTCCCAATTCTATTAGAATTGATCCTAAGGGGCCCAGATTGTTTCAAGTTGCGTCTGATAAGGCTCCTAAGTATATGGGAACAGTCGTTCTTCCTTCTTCTTCTGTCAATGGTGCTACACACAGTGGTATTTCTTCACCGAGCTCTAGTGCCCTGCGCCCCTCTTCGATGGCCGCTGCTTCAGGGGCAGCACCGGCTATAGATGGTGATGTTATTCCACGGCCTCCTGCCTCTGATGGGCCCAACTCGATCGCTCCCTCAGTTGCTCCTGGGCTTAGTTGTATTGAGGCTACACTTCAAGCTTCTTCTTCTTCTGGGAAGATTGTTGAGCATGCACCAACTGATGTTAGTGTCGGACCAGTACTCCCAGTTAAGATGCCGCCAAGAGTTCCATGTTTTCCTCCTTCAGGCTACCCTACTGGTGTTTCTGGTCATTCCTATAACAGCGGGGTGCTTAATTCAGAGGTTGATACCCCTCAAGGAAATGGTGAGATCCTTTCGGTACCTAAAGTTCCTATTGCTAGCAATGATATGGTCATGTATTCCTCCGGAAGGAGCAAGGAAAGGGTTCATATA